GTGTGTGTGTGTGTGTGTGTGTGTGTGTGTGTGTGTGTGTGTGAAATATATACAGTATATACATCGATCCATCCATTATCTTCCGCTTCCTAGGGAGGTGCTTCAGGGTTGATCAGGTCTAAAATCAGGTCTATCTTGTAAATGAGTCCCCGAGGTTCAGTGAGACTAACTTGTATAAATAAAAGTTGAATGAATGAAAATATATATATATCAAAATTAACTGACGATTATATTAAACTAACTAGTGTACTTTGGTTTCTAAGAACAGTATATCCAGTACTACACCACTGGATTGGGGGCCTGTTGTTACGGGCTGTTCGGTCCCTGTACAAGCGGTACGAGAGTTTGGTTCTCATTGCCGGTAGTAAGTCGGACCCTTCAGGGTGGGAGTTGGACTTCATCAGGGCTGCCCATTGTCATGATTCTGTTCATAACTTTTATGGACAGAATTTCTCAGTGCAGGCAGGTGGTGGAGGGAGTCTGGTTCAGTGGCCTCAGGATTCATCTGTGCTCTTTGCAAATGATGTGGTCCTGTTAGCGTCATCATGTCGTGATCTTCAGCTCTCACTGGAGCAGTTCACAGCCAAGTGTGAAGTGGCTGGGATGAGAATCAGCACCTCCAAATCTGAAGCCATGGTCTTCAGTCAGAGGGTGGACTGCTCTTTTCAGGTCGAGGGTGAGGTTCTGCCTCAAGTGGAGGAGTTCAAGTATCAAGTAAGGAAGAATGGAGCGAGAGATTGACCGATGGATTGGTACAGTGTCTGCAGTATTGTGGACTCTGTACCAGTCCGTTGTAGTGAAAAAGGAACTGAGCTGTAAGGCAAAGCTCTCCGTTTACTGGTCGGTCTACGTTCCCCCCTCATCTCTGGTCATGAACTCTGATAGAGACTGAAAGAATGAGATTGTGGATCCAGGAGGTTGAAATGAGTTTCCTCTGCAGGGTAGCTGGACTCTCTCTTAAAGACAGGGTGAGAAGTTCAGTTATCAGGAGAGACTCAGAACCACTGCTCCTCCACATCCAGAGGAGCCAGTGGAGGTAGTTCGGACATCTGGTAAGGATGCTCCCTGGGCTCCTCCCTAGGAAGGTGCTTTGGGCATGTCCAACTGAGAGGAGACCTCAGGGAAGACCCAGGACAAGCTGGACAGACTATGTCTCGGTTAACCTGGGAACACGTTGGAGCCTTCCCAGAAGAGCTGGAAGAGGCTGTGGGAGGAGATGTCTGGACCTCCCTGCTTAAGATGCTGCCCCCGAGACCTGAGTCCAGAACAAGAGGAAGATGATGGATGTTAATTAATCTTGTTTTTTCACCCCAAGCACCAAGTTATCAGAATCCACTCTTATGCTGATGATATCCTGCTGTTTTTAGAGAGTATAAATGAATTAAACTGCTTTCATGTGTTTTTCAGGGGGATGTTGTTTCTGTCACATTTGTAGCAGGAAACCCTCGACACTCTGGAGACATTGTAAGACGTTTTTTTAAGTCCTTGAGTTTTTTTCTTTTAGTCCTAGTTTTTTTAATTTTTCAATGGAATTTGTAATTTTCTTTGTTCCTGGGCAGAGAGAGAAAACTTTTGTCACTGTGGAGATGTATGATAACAGAACAGAAACCTGGGAGGTGGTCCACACAGATGCATCATGGGAAACTAGGTGGGTTAACCTGTGGGTGCTGTGTGATGGAGGAAGAAGTATGGTTCTAAACTCTGAGTATTTTAAGTCAGAGTTATTCACGAGTTTGTTTTATACTGTTGTGTAATTGTTTTATACACATTTGATTTTATCAGAGGTGATGAACTTTTATGACCAGATTTTTTGTCAAGTTCTCTGAGTTTTATTTTTCTTGATCAGAAATGTAAATTCATAGATTTCTGTGAGAAGAGACAAACATTTAAAGAAATCACTCAGACGACAGCAACAGGGTTTTTATTGACACAGACCATGAAAACTCTCAAAAAGCAAATTAAAATGAAAATCTAAGATAACAGTCAGGTATTTTAAATGGTTTCACACACATTTTGTTACATAACTCATTTCACACACACACACACACACACACACACACACACACACACACACACAC